GAACAAATGCAGCAAACCATTCTGGATCAAGCTACTAATACACACAAGAACCAAACGGGGCAAACCATTTTCGGATCAAGAGCAGACTGCAGCACGCGTGCTTTCAGTTTCCAGTTTCTGATTTCCGTGAGGGTGACGTTTGTTCTTTCAGACGGGAGAAGAAGGCGCAGATTGAATCTAGGCGTATGAGCTCGTGTTGTGAGAGTTGATTGCATGGATAGTTGCTGGTTCCAGCTTCATGATTACCTTCCTGACTTATGGTTGCAACTCCAGCGAGCATCGGGAAAGTCAAGTGCCAGCATAAATAGGAAGTGCCACGAAGAATCGTCATGGCGGATTCGACCGGACCGCTGTGGCGAGTCTGCAGCTGGCGAAGCCTCGCAGCATGTTCCTCTGCGGCTCGCTGCCGGTCTGGCTCGATCGCGAGTTCACCACGCTCGAGTTCTCTCCGGGGATATCGAGATCTTTCTCCACGATAGGTGAATAGCTATGCGACACAAAGATAAATTTCTCTGAACATAATCTTTCCTACGTATCGGTATCGAAGTTCGCTCCAGGATTCTCTAAAAGCCTTCATTAGCGACTGGTGACACCGTTTCATTCCTACCAGATTTCTGTCCAAATCTGCCGTTAACATGTCTCTCCTCGTTTTTGTTCACTTCTAACCTAGCCAATCCCTCGTCCCTTCCCTCTCCCCAGGACTCCCGGCATTCCCAAGGTGATCCCTCCCCCAGCCCGACCGTCCCTGGACACGCATCCCCCCGCATGGCTGCACCGAGACAACATCCTCCTGCCAGTCGACCGTCCCTCGGACCCTCCAGGTTCCACCTGGGGGGGTCGTATCTGCACCACAGCGGCGCGCGCAAGTGCGAGGCGCTGGCGGTGAGGGGTCTGGCGGAGTTTGGGAGGACGCGGTGGACAGTGATAGCGCCGCGGACGTGCTGAAGCAGCTGTTCAAACTGCCCTTTTCCAAGGCGAGCCTCTTTGTCAGCGTGCACCGCGTTGGCCGCACGCTCGTGCTCAACCCCGGGTGAGTGGATGCTTCTTGCTTCTGAGGAACCTCAATCCACCCAGGGTGAGTGCGTGCTGCCTTTGAGGCGACTCAAGGGTCAGGGAATGTGAGTGCGCCTGCTGAGATGGGGCCCTGGCGGTGAGGGGGCTGGCGGAGTTTGGGGAGGACGCAGTAGACGTGATAGCGCCCGCGGACGTGCTCAAGCAGCTGTTCAAGCTGCCGTTTTCCAAGGCCAGCCTCTTTGCCAGCGTGCACCGCGTCGGCCGCACGCTCGTGCTCAACCCCGGTGAGTGAGGGGTGCTTCATGGATTCGCACAATGTACCATGAGCCTCCGGAGGCCAGGGCAGCAAAAGTGGCAGTGCTTCTCTCTCTCCAAGCTGGTAGCCCAGAGTTGTACTCTTTCCTTCTTCCACTCATCCCCACCTCCCCCCTCCCCCATACTCCTCTCAGCTCCGAGCCTTGCTGTGTGGACTCCCACAACGTGGTATGGACCTCTAGATTGCAAAGGGAGGCGATTCTACTCTCTAAGCTTGTAACTCAGACTTTCACTCTCCTTCTTCCCCTCATACCCTCCCCCATGCTCCTCTCAGCTCCGAGCCTGGGTGTGTGGACTCCCACAAGGTCGCACGGACCTCCAGAGGGCAACGCGAGGCGATTCTGCTCTCCAAGCTGGTAACCCCGGAGTTACACGGTCAACAGGGCGCGTCTTCCAGCAGCAGACCTACCAGCAGAGGCATCAGGAGCAGCAGCACCAGTGCCATCAGCTCGTCTGCAGTTTCTGGTGGTACTGATAGCAGTAGCAGCAGTGGTCGCAATAGCGGCAACCAAAACAGCACCAGCAGGGGTAGCAGCAGCAGCAATGTTTCAAGAAAAGGTCTGCCTAACGCTGCTGCTCTGCCAAAAGCGTTCGCGGATTTCGTCGGGGACGCGGAAGGCGTGGTTCGAGTGTGCGCCGCAGCAGTCAGCAGCAGGAGGAGCAGCAGATGGATCGGCAGCAGCAGCCACAGCAGCAGCAGCAGCAGCAGACTTCTGGGGCGCCTCCAAAAACTACCACGGATTTTGTCGGGGATGCAGAGGGCGTGGTGCGAGTGTGCGACCACAGCAGTCAGCAGCAACAGCAACAGCGCCGGCAGCAGCAGCAGCAGCAGCAGTTTGGGTTGCAGAAGGCTGTTGTCACTGATGCAGCTTGCGCTGGTAGTTTGAAGAATCAGATTGAAGGCGTTCAAGGGGAAGTGAAAGTGGAAGTGGAAGAGGAGGAGGAGCAGGAGCAAGAGGAGGGGTATGCGCGTTGGGAGGGCGCTGGGAAGGGCAAGCCATGCAGCAAGCGGGAGAGAAGGCTGGATAATGGCAGCAACGGAGGAGCGGGGAGGCGAATTGAAACAGGGGTAGGAGGAGGAGGAGGTGCGGGGAAGCGAATGGAGACAGGAGGAGGGGGAGGAGGAGGAGTGGAGGCAGAGAGAGGGGCGGACAGGTTTGCCCGGGTGGTGTTCTGGCAGTTGGAGCACCTGAGGCTGTTTCTTGGCAGCGACCTGATTCTGTTCAGCAATGAGAAGCATGCTGCTGTCAGCCTTCACCTCGTTGACGTGGAGCATGAGGTATGCTCTTGCCGTTAGGTGACAATCTAGCTAGTGCCTCGACCAGCAACCTGATTCTGTTTAGTAATGAGAAGCATGCGGCAGTCAGCCTTCACCTGGTCGACGTGGAGCATGAGGTAGGAAGTTTTGTTTTTACGCCCTTTTGATTCAGGGTATGTTGTGTCTTATATGCTCTTGTGGTGTTCGTGTTGCTGGGAAGCGACCTGATTCTGTTCAGAAATGAGAAGCATGCGGCAGTGAGCCTTCACCTCGTTGACGTGGAGCATGAGGCATGTTCTTGCTGATTCAAGGTGACGATTCTTCTAGTGCCTCAAAACAGCGACTTGATTCTGTTCAGAAATGAGAACCATGCGGCAGTGAGCCTTCACCTCGTTGACGTGGAGCATGAGGCATGTTCTTGCTGATTCAAGGTGACGATTCTTCTAGTGCCTCAAAACAGCGACTTGATTCTGTTCAGAAATGAGAAGCATGCGGCAGTGAGCCTTCACTAGTTGATGTGGAGCATGAGGCATGTTCTTGCTGATTCAAGGTGACGATTCTTCTAGTGCCTCAAAACAGCGACTTGATTCTGTTCAGAAATCAGAACCATGCGGCAGTGAGCCTTCACCTCGTTGACGTGGAGCATGAGGCATGCTCTTGCTGATTCAAGGTGACGATTCTTCTAGTGCCTGAAAACAGCGACCTGATTTTGTTCAGAAATGAGAAGCATGCGGCAGTCAGTGTTCACCTAGTTGATGTGGAGCATGAGGTATGCTACCCCCCACCCACCCCGCCCCTCTGTGGGTGGGCGACTCGTGCCTGTTCTGCCGCTGTGGTGTTCGTGTTCCTGGGAAGCGATCTGATTCTGTTCAGCAATGAGGAGCATGCGGCAGTCAGCCTTCATCTTAACTTTCTTCCTTCTCTTCCTGCACACACTTGCAGAGCTCCCCTTTGGTGTGGCTCGATATATGGCTCGACTAACCTGATGGCGGGGGTGCCGGAATTAGCCATTCTGCTACCATCACAAGGGCGTCGTGCAGGGCTACGAGCTGCTGCACTGTGGACGACGTGTTTCTGCTCAAGTGCCTCGCGAGAGACGGGTCGGCGTCGTTCTACCCCCACGCTGTGAGGGGACAGCGCGCTCGCCATCCTGGGGTTCCTGCAGGACAAGTGCGTGCGCAGCCCCGGCACCTACTGGGTGAGTCTGAATTCCGATTCCTGCTGCTGCTCTATCAGTGTGACACAGGCGCGGACGTGCTGCTGCTATTTAACTTACTCCACCCCTCTGTACCTCTCTCCCCTCTCACTCTCCCCCCTCCCCTCCCCCCTCCCACTACCCTCCCTTCCCCATTCCCCTCCCCTCCCCTCCTCTTCCTCTTCCTCTCCTCCCTTCCTTCTTTCTCCCCTCCTCCCTCTCTGTGCAGCTTCGCAAGGATGCAGGCACTGACGTGCTGCAGCTATTCGACCTCACTCCACCGCTCCAGAACCCATCTGCACCGCTCCGCCCTCGCCCCATCCCTCGCTACCCATCCTTCACCCCTGGGAGAACCATCAGGAGAGGCAGCAGGGGCAAGAGCGGGACGAGCAAGGGGGGCAGCAGTGGGGACAGCAGGGGAAGGCAGCAGGGGGGCTAGCGGGGCGAGCAGGAGGGAACTCCCCGTTATCTTCCTCTCGATCCGGCTGTAGCAGCGCACCTCTCCCTGCCCCTCGCTATGCTGCTCTACCGCCTAGCCCTTCATCTCTCAGACTCCCATGTGCCTCGGGATCGGCACAGGACAGCCCAGCTGTTTGGGTACTGCTTGCAACTGCTGCACCAGAAAGACCACCCGGTAAGCCCCTGCATTCTACCATCCCCCCGAGCAGCAAGTGCAGCCCCAACCAGTAGGTGAGCACTCATCTGCCATCTCCTAGTAACCCATATTACGAGTGCCTGGGATCGCCACAGGTCTGCATAGCTGTTTGGTTACTGCCTGCAGCTGCTGCACCAGAAAGAAAACCTGGTAAGAACAAGAGGAGTAGCCCGTGAGCATGAGCTCATGAGCACCAGCCCGTGAGCACCACCAGTGTACATGCCTATATGCCGTGCAGTGCAACGTACGAGCGGGCGGGCAGCGTATCAGCGGGCAGTGCAGCGTATGAGCGGGCGGTGCAGCGTATGACCGGGCGGTGCAGCATATGAGCGGGCGGTGCAGCGTATGAGCGGGCGGTGCAGCGTATGAGCGGGCAGTGCAGCGTACGAGCGGGCGGTGCAGCGTATGAGCGGGCGGTGCAGCGTACAAGCGGGCGGTGCAGCGTACGAGCGGGCGGTGCAGCGTATGAGCGGGCGGTGCGGCGTATGAGCGGGCGTTGCAGCGTATGAGCGGGCGGTGCAGCGTATGAGCGGGCGGTGCAGCGTATGAGCGGGCGGTGCAGCGTGAGCGGGCGGTGCAGCGTACGGAGCGGGCAGTGCAGCGTATGAGCGGGCAGTGCAGCGTATGAGCGGGCGGTGCAGCGTATGAGCGGGCGGTGCAGCGTATGAGCGGCGGTGCAGCGTATGAGCGGGCGGTGCAGCGTATGAGCGGGCGGTGCAGCGTTATGAGCGGGCGGTGCAGCGTATATGAGCGGGCGGTGCAGCGTATGAGCGGGCGGTGCAGCGTACGAGCGGCGGTGCAGCGTACGAGCGGGCGGTGCAGCGTACGAGCGGGCGGTGCAGCGTACGAGCGGGCGGTGCAGCGTACGAGCGGGCGTGCAGCGTACGAGCGGGCGGTGCAGCGTACGAGCGGGCGATGCAGCGTACGAGCGGGGCGGTGCAGCGTACGAGCGGGCGGTGCAGCGTACGAGCGGGGGCGGTGCAGCGTAATGAGCGGGCGGTGCAGCGTATGAGCGGGCGGTGCCGCGTATGAGCGGGCGGTGCAGCGTATGAGCGGGCGGTGCAGCGTATGAGCGGGCGTTTGCAGCGTATGAGCGGGCGGTGCAGCGTATGAGCGGGCGGTGCACGCGTCATGATAGCCGGGCGGTGCAGCGTATGAGCGGCGGTGCAGCGTATGAGCGGGCGGTGCAGCGTACGAGCGGGCGGTGCAGCGTATGAGCGGGCGGTGCAGCGCGTATGAGCGGGCGGTGCAGCGTATGAGCGGGCGGTGCAGCGTATGAGCGGGCGGTGCAGCGTATGAGCGGGCGGTGCAGCGTATGAGCGGGCGGTGCAGCGTATGAGCGGGCGGTGCAGCGTATGAGCGGGCGGTGCGCGTATGAGCGGGCGGTGCAGCGTATGAGCGGGCGGTGCAGCGTACGAGCGGGAGGTGCAGCGTACGAGCGTGCGTGCAGCGTATGAGAGGGCGGTGCAGCGTATGAGCGGGCGGTGCAGCGTATGAGCGGGCGGTGCAGCGTATGAGCGGGCGGTGCAGCGTATGAGCGGGCGCTGCAGCGTATGAGCGGGCGGTGCAGCGTATGAGCGGGCGGTGCAGCGTATGAGCGGGTGGTGCAGCGTATGAGCGGGCGGTGCAGCGTATGAGCGGGGCCCGGGCGGTGCAGCGTACGAGCGGGAGGTGCAGTGTACGAGCGTGCGGTGCAGCGTATGAGAGGGCGGTGCAGCGTATGAGCGGGCGGTGCAGCGTATGAGCGGGCGCTGCAGCGTATGAGCGGGGCGCTGCAGCGTATGAGCGGGCGCTGCAGCGTATGAGCGGGCGGTGCAGCGTATGAGCGGGCGGTGCAGCGTATGAGCGGGCGGTGCAGCGTATGAGCGGGCGGTGCAGCGTATGAGCGGGTGGTTGCAGCGTATGAGCGGGCGGTGCAGCGTATAGAGCGGGCGGTGCAGCGTACGAGCGGGAGGTGCAGCGTACGAGCGTGCGGTGCAGCGTATGAGAGGGCGGTGCAGCGTATGAGCGGGCGGGTGCAGCGTAATGAGCGGGCGGTGCAGCGTATGAGCGGGCGCTGCAGCGTATGAGCGGGCGCTGCGCGTATGCGGGCGCTGCAGCGTATGAGCGGGCGGTGCAGCGTATGAGCGGGCGCTGCAGCGTATGATCGGGCGGTGCAGCGTATGAGCGGGCGGTGCAGCGTAATGAGCGGGTGGTGCAGCGTATGAGCGGGCGGTGCAGCGTATGAGCGGCGGTGCACTGCGTACGAGCGGGAGGTGCAGCGTACGAGCGTGCGGTGCAGCGTATGAGAGGGCGGTGCAGCGTATGAGCGGGCGGTGCAGCGTATGAGCGGGCGGTGCAGCGTATGAGCGGGCGGTGCAGCGTATGAGCGGGCGGTGCAGCGTATGAGCGGGCGGTGCAGCGTATGAGCGGGCGGTGCAGCGTATCATTGTTTCTCTACCTCCCTCCATTCCTCTTCTAATCTCTCGTTTCCCCTCCAGGGCCTTCGAGCAACAGCCCACGAGTACATGGCGCTCTTCTTCCTGCAAATCCCTCAGAAAGAGCTTCCATCTCTCCTCCAACCCTCGCACCTCCACTCCCCCCTCCTGCCACAACCACGGCTTCCCCACCCTCCCTTCCTCCTCTCATCAACTCCCCATACCGCCCCCCCACACCCTCCCATCCCCCCTTCCTCCCTCCTCCATCCCTCTCTCCAACCGTCACTCCCCCATCCCTCCTCACTCCACCTCCCCTTTCTCCAACCAGTCACGTTCTTACCCTCCCATCTGCCACCGTCCAATCTTTTACCCTTCTCCACCCCTTCCTCCGTATCTCCTTCTGCTCTCACCCCATCCTCTTGCCTCGCTATCACTTATCCCAAAGATGCTGCTGCTGCTGATCCTGCTACTCCTGCTGCTGCTGCTGATCCTGCTACTCCTGCTGCTGCTGCTGATCCTGCTACTCCTGCTGCTGCTGATCCTGCTAGTGCTGATGCTGCAGCTGCTCCTGCAGCTGTGGGCTCTCAACGTTTGGCCATCGTCCCCACAAACAACGCACACTTAGCTGTCATTCCAAGAGCTGACCAACCCTTGGCTGTGATTTCCGAAGCCAATCAGCAGCTGGCTGTAATTCCCCAAGCCAATCAGCAGCTGGCTGTAATTCCCCAAGCCAATCAGCAGCTGGCTGTGATTCCCGTTTTTCCAACGAGCCAGCAGCTCACGATCAGCTCGCAAGCAGCGCATGGGTTAGGGGCAGCTGTAGCACAGAAACTGGGTGCCACTGTAGAAAAGGAAACAGGGGCAGCTGTAGCACAGGAATCAGGTGCAACTGTAGAAAAGGAATCAGGGGCAGCAGTAGCACAGGAATCGGGTGCAACTGCAGCAAATGAATCGGTAGCACAGGAATCAAAGGTTGTGGCAGCGACTGAGCCAGGAGCAGCAGCTAAAGCAGAACAAGAAGCAGCAGCAGCAGCAGAACCAGAAGCCACAGCAACTGCAGCTTCACCAATATCCGCAATTTTGCCCCCTCCGCGCACTACAGTGGGAGACGCGGAGAGTGCCGTAGCGCACACAGGAATAGGGGCAGAAGCAGCAGCAGAGGCAAAAGCGGCAGGAGCAGAAGCAGCTGCAGGGGCAGAAGAAACAGCAGGTGCAGAAGAAGCAGCACCAAAATCACAACCGCCGCTGCCATCCCGTTCCCCTCCCCCTGCTGTCGACGATGCAGAGAGCGCAGTGGCAGTCCGTCTGGCATCCGTCTGGCATGCCACGCAAGCGATCGGCGCGCTGAGGTGGCAGCGGCACCTGCTGACTCACACCCAGGAGAGCTTAATGAACCCCCCTCTATCCCTCCTCCACAGCCTCAGAAACTACTCTGCTTCCGGTATGTGTCTCTGTGGGGAATCCTGCTGCCTTTCCCAAGGGTCTGGTGCGGTTTACGGGGATGGGAGGGCGTTTGGAGTGGTTGAGGAGGAGAGGAGGAGGAGCAGGGGGAAGGGGCGGAAGGGGGTGAAGGGAAGGGGAGGGCAGCAGAGGGGGAAGGTGGAGGAGGAGGTGGGGGTAATGGGGGAGAGAGGGCAGGAGTGGGGGGAGGAGGAAGGGAGGGAGGGGGATGACGACGCACATTCTTTTTGCTCCCTAGGTAGCACCTGCAGCAGTGTTGGCGCTGCCTCTGCTGCCTCTGCTGGTTCTGCTGCTGCTGGAGGCCTAACCAGTGGTGATGCGGTTACCACTAGCAGTGCGGTTACCAGCCGTACCACTGCGGTTACCGATCGGCGTATCTGCAAGCTGATAGCGCTTCTAGGAGAGGCATATCTGGGCCTAGCAGAAGCTTATAAGGGGGATGGGCACGTGGGGCGGGCTTTAAGAGCTGCTGAGCTGGCGTGTGTGGTTGTGGGGGGTTGGCCGTGGGACTTGGAGGATCTAGGCTTGGAAGGGGAAGGGGAGGAGGGGGGAGAGGGAGGAGTGGGAGGAGAGGGAGAGGATGGGAGGCGGGATGAAGAGGAGGAGGGTAGGTTTCGGGGATTGGAGGGATGGGGGGTTGGAGGTGAGGGGAATGGAATGAAGACTGGTGGCGAGCAGGAAGGGGAGAGAGCGGAGAGGGGGGTGCAAGAGGTTAGGGGGGCGAGAGGTGGGAGGAAGAAAGCGAAAGGGAAAGATAGGAAGCAGAAGAAGGGCGAAGGAGGGGCGGAAGGAGGAAATGCTTTACATGTAGCGAGTCAGCCCGTAAGGGAGATGAGGGTGGAAGACAGGCTGAGGCTGTCCGATTCTGGCTGCTCCACGTCTGACGCCCCTGTGCTTCGTGTTTACACTGCGTCACGTACAGTCACACCGCTTAAAGTCACACAATCTCTCGGTGGGGGCTAAAACGAAGGACTCTTCAAAGCCCAGCCAGTCAGCACGCAAGAATGAGAGGCAGAGCCGTGTTTCTGAATCTGTAAGGCCAAAAGGGGTGGGGGTGGGAGTGAGCAGAGGAGCAGCAGCAGCAGCAGCAGCAGCAGCAGGGATGTTGGCGGGAGGGGGAGTATCTGCAGGGTGGGAGGGTAGCATGTGGTTGTGCAGGCGTGTGAGTGGAAGGAGCTTTTGGGGTGAGCTGTGGGAACTGGTAGGAGATTTGTATGTGGACCTAGAGACTAGGGTCGGAACAGGGTCGGAGCCTGAGCAAGCAGCAAGGCTCGGTGATTCGAAGCAAGAGGCGAGACTCGGTGACCCAAAGCAAGGGGCAAGGGTTGGTGGTGCGAGGTTGGGCGAGGGGAGAAGGGAAGAAGGCAGTGTGGCTGTGCGGGCTGCAGCAGTGGCTGCAGAGGGAGAGGCATCTGGGAGTGCAGAGCTGAGGATAGAAGAGGAGGTGGCAAGGGAGGTGAGACGGGTGAGGAAGAAAAGGAGGCAGAGGGAGGGCAGTGGTCACGGGGCAACAGGCGAAAGGGTCGCGGCTGGGGAGGCAGCAAGGGCAGCAGCAGGGGCAGCAGAAGCAGTAGCAGCTGTAGCACATGCTGTTTGTAGCGTGTGTGGGAGGGGTGGTTGTAGCTGCTTGAATGAACGAGCACGACGAGACAACGGTGAATCAGCATCAGCAGCACCATCAGCCCTTCCCCAAGCCGCCTGCTCTGCAACCAGCTGGAAGAGTCGTTGTTTTGGCCGACCGTTCGTGCTCGACCCGAACGCCAACTACCAATCAGCAGCCGAGTTTTACTCCCGGGCAGCGGCTGCGTTCTCGGCCAATCACGACGCGACAAGCAAGCAGGTGGTTATGAGGAAACGCGGATGGGCCTGCAACGAGCGCGGCCGGTGGCTTCTCAACTCCCCTTCCTCCTCCTCTCCCTCCTCCTCTTCCTCCTCTTCCTCTACCTCATCTCCTCCTCCACCTCCCACACCCCCACACGCCACCATAGCAGCAGCACGGGCAGCGCTGGTGGCGGCAGCAGAGGCATTCTGGGAAGCGGGAGATGCTCCCAATGCTGCTCTTGTGCTCTGCAATCTAGGCCATGGGGAACGGGCAGATGCTGAGGTGATTGCTGCTCCTCTTCTCATGCTCTCTGAGCAAGCAGGTGCTTCTGGCGTGGGCTTTAGTAATGCTGCTTCTTCTGCTGCTGCTGCTGCTCCTGCTGCTGGGGCGCCTGTTGCTTTTGGTGCTGGGGATGCCGCAACGAATGTTAACGGCGGTGAAAGTGGTTCCGCTGGTGCTGGTGCTGGTGCTGGTACTGGTGCTGGTGCTGGTACTGGTGCTGGTGCTGGGTTCTCGGGCAAGTTTGAGAGAGCGAGGCAGCGGTATATGCGGGCGTTGGGGTGGTATGGGGATGCTCGCAGGGAGCTGATGAGGAGTGTGGGGGAAAGTAAGGCCGATGGTGCTGCTGATGGGAGTACGGACGTAGCGGGAGGAGCAGGAGGATCAGGGGGAGTAGGAGTAGGAGGAGGACGAGGTAAGGGTGGCGTGGGGGTTGAGAGTGAGTCAGCAGCAGCACGGGCATATGGGGTGGTGTGGAGCGAGGTGAACCTGCAATTCGCCCACACTTACCTAAGAGTCGGCATGCTTATGGCCGCTGCGGAACGCCTGGGCCTCCCAATGGTCCCTGCTGGGAACAGGAAAGAGAATGCGGATAGTTCCAGTTGGTTCGGTGGAGGGATGGGGATGGGGTGAGGGAGGAAAGCGGAGGGGGGGCAGGGGAGGGGAATGAGTGGGAGTGGGAGGTGCGAGGGTATGTTTCGGCGAAGGATGCCTTGAGTAAGGCTCTGATTCTGTATGAGTCTCTAGGGACGAGCAGACAGCAAGAAGCTGCCTTTGCTCACTTCCATCTTGCTGGTTACCACAGGGATTGTGCCCTTCGTGCTGCTGCTGCTGCTGCTGCAGGAGGATCAGCAGCAGGGGGTGTGGCGGATTGGCAGCAGCAGCAGAAGCGCCTGGCAGCGTTAGCAGAGGTGCACTGGCACAAGGCAGTGTGCTTCTATCGAGCGGAAGCACATCCGGACATGTTTGTGACTATATGCATGGAGAGGGCGGGGCTAGCGTCTGGTCTGGGCGGGCAGAAGCAGCAGCAGTGGCAGGTATGGTTGTATAGAGTGTGTTGTATGGGCGTGCTTTCGCCAACATGTTTGTGACCAGCTGCATGGAGAGGGGGGGGGCTAACGTTTGGTTGGGTCTGGGCGGGCAGAAGCAGCAGCAGTGGCAGGTATGGTTGTATAGAGTGTGTTGTATGGGCGTGCTTTCGCCAACATGTTTGTGACCAGCTGCATGGAGAGGGGGGGGCTAACGTTTGGTTGGGTCTGGGCGGGCAGAAGCAGCAGCAGTGGCAGGTATGCTTTAAAAAGGGTGCACTGGCGCAAGGCAGTGTGCTTCTATCAAGCGGGTGCACATCCGGACCTGTGTGTGACTACATGCATGGAGTGGGCTGGCCTCCTTTGCTTTGGGGAGCAACGGCAGCAGCAGCAGCAGCAGCAGCAGTGTCAGGCATGGTTGTTTTTAGTGTCTGAGCCTGACAAGTCAACTTTCTCCACGCCCCAGTTTCCCCCAACCAAATACGGTAACCTTATTCCCTGCGCTCTCTTCTCTTCCCTTGTCGCTCCTCTCCCCTCGCCCCTGTACCCCACCAGAGTCACCTCGCGGCTCTGAGACACCTCATGGCAGTGCAGGCCGCGCTATCACCACCCCCAGGCCCCTCTCCCTCCCCAGTTCCCGATTCCAAAACCACGGAGCACTCAAAGCAAGCTCACGACAAGGCGTCCCCTCTCTACAGTCACACGGCTGAGAGGCTGTGCCATCTCGTACAGTCACACCTGAAGGCCTTGCTGGGCCTTGCTCTGGCATCTTCCGGCTCATCCCTCGGTGGGAGGAAGGCGGGTGAAGGTACAAGTGCAGCAGGCTTAGGGGTTGGGAGAGGTGGAGAGGAGTTGGTGGGAGTGCTTCGAGAGGCTTACAGGTGCTCTTTGAAGCTGGACAAGTGTGCATTGAACCTGCATTCGATATCTGTATTGGTTGCTCGTTTGCAGTAACGAGTGCTTTATATGCTCACTGAAGTCTGAGGTCGTTGTAATTGTCTATCGTTCCAAGAACTCATGTTTCTCAAATGTTTGACATTTTGTTTTGTGGCGCCAATGTTTTTAAAAGCACAATAAGTAGTAAGGAACTCGCTCAAAAAAAAGATCGGCGTTACAGCGGGCGATTCCGAGGCACCAATTTCAAGGCTCACCCCTTCTAGCTCGGGCACGTAAGTAGCTGTACACGCGGGGAAATGAACCAATTGCTGGAAGAAAATCTCTTCCCTCCGAAAATTTTCAATGGAGGTGGTTTTCATAATTTTGCAACTTCAATTGGCTGAACGGGCCCTGCGAGCATTTCCCGAGGTTAGCGTCAGTGACAAGCCACACAAATCCCTCAGGTATCGTCTGAGGTTACTAGACCTAATCAGTGAGGATAGTGTCATCGTCACGCCTTGTTCTGGCTTGAGATTGAGTTTCGAAGCTTCGTCTTTAGACGCGCTCCGCCGTCAGTCATTCGTAGGTTCTAAGCTTGGGCGGTCGAAGCGTTTCATTCGTCGAGCTGTCCTGACGCCGCTGTTCAGTGACAGACTATCAGTCTAGAATCGACTTATCCGATCGGCTCCGTGCGATTTTCACGTCTCCATCAGGCGCTCTCCTGTTTCTGACCGCGCTTAAACGTTGTTTGGCCAAAATCGTAACGGATTTGTTCGTCAAGTTCGAAATGATGGGTGACGACGATGAGTGGGGTCCTGATGTCATGGCCGACGCGTTGGAGCTCGTGATGAAGGCGGAGGCGGAAAAGGCGGCGAAGGACGGCCAGCAGCAGCAGCACCAGAAGCATAATCAGCACCAGCAGCATCATCAGCATCATACGTACCAGCAGCATCAACAGCATCAACAACACCCGCAGCACCAGCAGCACCAACAGCATCCGCAGCAGAACTCGCATCTATTGAATCAGAACCAGCAGCTTCAGCAGCAGCAGGAGCATCAGTGGAGTTCACTACAGCAGCCTCACCAGGCGAAACCATATCAGCAACATCAGCACCCCTATCATCGTGACCAAAAACAGCTGCAAACCGCTCATTTTCACCAGCAGCAGCACAACCAGCAACAGCCACCACCAATGCAGCAACAGGCTCCAACAACTGAAAACCGCAATCAAGAATCCAGCTTCTATCCTCCTTATCAGAATGGCACTGCGTGGCCCAATGACGAGACACATCACAAGATCAACCAAGGACCTGCTTTTTCCCATGCCCTATCAGCTCAACACTCTCTGCATGCCCAACAACCCAGCCTGTCTTCCGGAGCTGCACCTTCCAGGCCTGCGTCAATGGTTCGGACCAACCCTTCAGCCCCCCCTCCAGCTGTCTACGGGCGAGCGAAGGGAGACCGCAGGTTCGGTGCCCTCTTCCCAGCACCAGGCTTCGCAGCATCCCCTATCGCCCCACCCCCACCCACCATCCCATCCGCTCCCCCTGTTCCCCCAACGCCTCCTTCTCCCCTTCCCGCCTCTGCTTTCCCCCCCCCTGCTGCTCCTGCTGCTGCCACTGCTCCTGCTCCTGGCGTTACTGAATCTGGTGGCTTTCAAAGGAGGAGTATGCAGGAGCCAGGGAGCAGCCATGGGGGATGGGAATCGGCGAATGGCAAGGCGCCAGCTGTCAAGCGCCAGAAGCAGTCCTTGAATGAACACTATCAAGGCATGGATGAACAGTACCAAGCCGTGGGGGAACAGTACAAAGCCGGAGATGAGCACAAAGAAAGGTGCCAAGGAGAGGAAGATGGGGCGGAGGAGGCAGCTGAAAGTCTGAGGGAGAGGCTGAGAGAGAAGGAAGCAGCAATGGAAGGGCTGCTGGCGAAGCTGCAAGAGGTGAGCAATGGTGGCAGCATGGCTAGCTGATAGAACTCTGAGGGAGAGGTCGAGGGAGAAGGAAGCAGCGATGGAGGGTCTGCTGGCGAAGCTTCAAGAGGTGAGAACAGTTTGTCAGTTTTAGTTTTCTGACGAAAGAATTCTCTCTTACTACTGGATCAGTTGTCGGGTTAAAGCAATGTCTTCTTGCTTCGTGTACGACCTAGTGCCTTTCTGCTCTGCCTTCTGCTAGCATCCTGTGTGTTAATTTTTCTGCTTACTACTGCTGTTCGTGCAGGCAGAGAAACAGCTGAAGTGCCTTCATCAGCGAGATTCGCATTCCGCTGCCGCTGCTCCAGGCCAAGAAAATGCCCAGGTTTGCTGTCATTGCTATTGGGTTTTGGGATTGGGCTTTCTTAAGTCTGTTTATTTTCTGGAACTCACTTGCTTTCCATCTGTGAACCCCCAATGTCATGCCTGTCCTTATGCCTCGTGGTTCTTTACCCTTTTCACCAACCTTGCAGCTTCACTTGCGTGCTTAGTTACCCACCAACCTTCATGTCATTGCGCCCGTCTCTTTCGCATGTATGTCATGTCATGTCATCTTCACTTATTCACTTGCTTCTTCCAGATGGATAGAAAAGACATCGAGATCGAGCGTCTCACAGCTGAGCTCCTGTTCAAAGTAAGATGCGCAAGTCACACCCTGCCCTGCTGTGCCCTGACCTTTTCCGTTAAGCCTGTTTTTTAGCCTTTGTAAGCATCTGCTTCGATAACTCTGTTGGTCACTTTCGTACACGGAAATTCCTCCTTTCTTCTTAGAAGTAAGTGCCAAAAAGGGCGATAGTCCTCTTCCTCTGTTCTTTTGCCAGGCACGCATACTTGTTAAGGAAGAAGAGTTGGAGCAGGTTTAGCGTGCCAAGCTTTTCTACAACTCCCAATCCCCTGTTCTATCTCCCCTTTCCATTGCTTTGCCTGATGCACGGACATGTGGACATGCGGACGGACATGCGGACATGTGGATACGTGCAGGAAGAGGAGATGGAGCAGACTCGCAAGCAGCGAGAGGAGGAGGAGCGAAGGCGGCAGGCAGCAGAGGCTGAAGCGAGGGAGTTGAAAGAAAAGATGGCAAAGGCTGTGACAGAGAGGTGAGACTGGGAAGGAATGGGACGTTTGAGACCTTGGGGTGGAGGAGACATATGGGGACTTGTTGCTTCCTTGTCACAGCCTCCTTTTCCGTATTCATTTTGTTTTTTCTCTTTCTACAAGGACCATCTCCAGGGAGCGGCGTGTGCAGGAGGATCGTGTCGAGATTTTGAAGCAGCCAAATGGGATGGATGGGAAGGACTTGGGGGGAAATGCAGGCAACACAGAAGAGCTGCGCCATGCTGCTGCGTCTGGAGTTGTTGCTGCTGCTGGTAGCGGTGGTGGTGGTACTGCGGCTGCTGCTTCTGCTGCAGCACCTGCTGGTGCTGCTCGTGCCGATTCTGGCGCTGCAACAGGTGTCACTGCCGCTCGTCCTGCTGCCGATGCTGCCACTGGTGCTGCTGCTGGTGCTAAGGAGGGTGCTGCTGCTGGGGCCTCTGGAGCCGTTGCTGCTTCAGCGTCAGACCGTGACATGGCTTGTTTGCACAGTGCCCTGCAGCGAGTGTGGAACGGCCGACTGCCCTCCCCATCCCCTACCTTGCACTTTGCTAAGTGTGACAGATCACCGCCTGTTGGGTGTACCGCGAGAGTTGGCAAGTACGGTAGATTGAGCATGGGAGGGGGGTCGGAGGAGAAGAGCCAGGAGGAGCAGAGGCTGGAAAGGAGAGAGGGTGAGGGGAATCAAGCAAGTGGGAGGAAGCAGGGGAATGATGACGTGGCAGTGGTGGAAGTTGACAGGGATGATGCCGGCACTGACTCAGCGCATGGCCACAGTGACTCAGCACGCAGATTCGATGAGTCAAGGCCCATGATGCGTGACTCAGCAGAGCACTGCCGGTTTGTGGCATCACAGCTGATAGCGCACTGTCCTCGAGACTTTCTATCCCTGGTTGCAGCACCCACTGCCGCTCACTGCCTCCCCCTTGTTGCAACGCCCAATGCCGCTCACTTCCCGCCCACCCTCGTTGCAACTCTCCCTTCCACTCGCTGCCTCCCATTCGTTGCAAGGCCCACTGCAACAGAGCCACAGATGACGCACAGAGGTTCTCTTTCAGACCCTCGCATGCTCTGTCACACCACCACACACGCACAGGCACACAGCCCTGGCTCGTCACGTCTTCTTCTTTCCGTAGACGCGGCAAGGGAATCTGCTGTTGCGCTGGGACGGAGAGGTGGAGAGGAGGTGCGGAATGTGAGAGCGGGTGGGGATGCGAGGTGCGCGGTTGTGCAGCGGCGACTGCAAGACGGCTTTTCGAATGTGAGTGTTGAAAATAATGATATGTACGGATGTCCAGGCAGCACGACTTGCATCTAAACATGAGTTTTTCTATAAGAGTTGCAGAATTCATTAGCGCATGGGATTTCAAGAATGTCATTTCATCAGTGTCTTCTCAATCCTCTCTTTCATCCTCAAGATCCCCTTTCCCGCTTCTCATTTCCAGCTTCCACATTGCTCTCAACGCTTTCGCCCGCGCCGTCACCCCCTTCCCTCCCCATGTCTTTCCCACGCTCGCTGCCCTCGCAAATTCCAGCTACTGATTGGTATTGACTCGCCCTGCCATTTCTTCTCCACGCTGCTGGACTTTGCCTGCACACAAGCACCTGTGTCTCAGGTAAGCCCTGTGTACACCGTGCACATGATTTGAGGCAGTTTTAAGGCGCTTACACGATCGTTCTTTTTCTCCATGCTGGTGGACTTCGCCTGAACACAAGCTCGTGTATCCTGTTAACGTCTCTATCCCTCTGCTCCGCAGTCGTCTCGCCTGCAAGCATGGCAAGCCTTCCCCGTTCTGGTTGAAATGGACCACACCTGTCGCTCTCTTCTACCCTCTGCTGCCTTTCAGTTGACTCTGATTTCTCCCTTGTTTTTTTGGCCTCCTCCTTCGCACCCCTTCCCCTTCTTCCCTTTCCAGCCCCCCCGCCTGCAAGCGTGGCAAGCCCTCTCCGTTCTGCTTCGAGTGGACCACACCTGCCGCTCCCTTCTGCTCTCTGCTGCCGTTTGAGTTGACTTAGA